AAAAACTGGCCAAAATATATTTTAAATGTATGCTATATACAGTATATGGTGTAACAGTTAAGCTCAATGCAACATATTTTTAAAAATTAAAATATATTATTTTAATTTAAACATTAAAATATATTATTATTTTAAAAATTAAAATATATATTTAGTTTTAAGTTGCATATACCAAAATATATTTCAAAATGTATTTCAGGGGCAAGAAATAATAATTAATAATAATAATATTTTTTAATGAATATCATAATATTGTAATTTTCTTTGGAACATTGTAACATTCTTTGCTGATTTTTATTTGAATGTGTTATATGTTCACACATGTTGTTACATTTGTGGAAAGCCTTTGTTGTCTATATGTGAATGCATTTTCTTGGATTGAAATATATTTTATAAATATTTAAATATTTATATTTATTGGTAGAAAATATATTAAATATATTGTAACATCTTTTAACAAATATTTTTGCCTAATGGGTTGGAGAAAATACTTTCTGTTTTTCTACTTCAAAATGTCTTGTTTAATTCAACTATTAAAATTATAAATTATAAACTATAAATTATTTGAGAGTTTCTGAGTGGAAACTGTTTCAAAGTAATTCCAGAGGAACTTACTGCAGAGCGTACAGTATTCATCAGGAGTCTGAAGAGCCATCTGTCCCTAAAAGATCTCCAATACGCCTGAATTCTTCTGGCACAATTCTCATAATTCTCCATTCTAAATCAGAAACAATCATTCTACACATTAGAAATGTAATTCTCAGATATTAGGCATTTGCGAGGTTTATAAAGCATCAAATGGCACTCACTTCTCCCCCATAGCAATCACATACTGTATATGTGCTGATTAACACAGTGCTGTACAACACGCTGTCTGTGATGTTTGTTGTCAGACCAGTGCACTTTTCTATAGTGGTTGCTAGGAAACCAGTGAAAGAGTTTCAGCCAATAGAGGATGATAAACAACTAAATTTCCCGTATGAAAGCTTTCCTTCTCACAAACGAAGTAATGTATAACAAATACAGGCGTAAGTAATTTGTGTATGATTGAAACAATCGATTAGTCCAAAAAAAGTTTCGACTGCAATACGCTTCATGGACACTAGATTAAAACACTGAAGCTCTTTCGTCTTCATAGACTCGATTGCATTATATTTATTAATATACTACTTTTGAGTGAGACTGCTTGGGATGTAAGCTGTGATGTTGACTTGTGATTGGTCTGTGTATTTATTTCATTTCTTTTTATTTTTATTCATTTTATTTTTAGACAAAACATGCCTTAACTTTAGGACAAGCTTACATGTGATATTTCATTATCATACTATTATAGCTTTTATTAAAGTTTTTATATTTTCCTTTTTCATTTCAATTTTTAGAATTTTTAGTAATTTTGTTGTGTGTTTTTGTCATTTTGAATAGTTTATATATATATATATATATATATATATATATAAAGTTTTTATTAAATTTTATTCAGTTTGAGTTAAATTAAATTAAAATGAGAAATTTTGTCTTGGCCACTAGCTGAAGTAAACGTTAAAATAATTCAAATATATATATATATATACAGTGTTGGGGAGTAACTAGTTACATGTAACGGAATTACGTAATTTAATTACAAAATAAAAGTAATTGTAATTAGTTACAGTTACTAAGAAAAAATGTGTAATTAAATTACAGTTACTTATGAAAATGTTAAGGATTACAAAGGGGGTTACATCTGATTTTTTCACACACACTCCCACATACAGATTTAATTTAGTTCTTTCATAAGTTGCAGTGACTGCTTTAAAATATGAAACACCAATGTTTCAGAAGTTTATAACATGCTTATCCGATAGGGTTTATGTATATGCTTTATTTTTTTAAGATTGACTATATTTTTCTATGGCATTGTTAGATTCCAGTGTTTCCTGTCATAGCTGTGCAAAGATTTGATTTCAAAAACAGTATAATAGCTATTAAACTATTTCTTGTTATGATTTTAAATATGTATTTAACCACAGAATGATTTTAAAGTAAGTCTGATTTTGTGGTGGCTGTGCTTCAGATGCAAATTTTCCACAAGTTGGTATGATT